TTACCACATATGGTTTCCAGATTTCATCGATATCGGCTTAGCCACATAACCTTAGTTTAATCTCAATTCAATTCAAGTCCTGATGCCTCAGCAAGGTCTTTGAAAAAGTTTAGCATTTTTTAGCCACACTCTTCACTTTTTACAAATGCAATCGTGTCGTCTGTATATTGTAATATTGTTAGTTGTACCCCAGATGTGGTGATTCCCGTATTTGATTCGAAGAACGTAATTTTATAGACAGCATCCCTACAGCCAAACAAAAAGCCTTCCTGAGAAAGGGCACCCTCACATTACAGCACGTTGAGGAAAAACCACTTGGAAAAGAAGCCATTGTTGAATATGGCCAACCCCTCGCGATTGTGCAATACCCGGACCCACCTTATAAATCATGTCCGAAATTGAATTGGCGCAGCATGTTGAATATGTCGTCATGCTCCGGTGAGTTGAATGCTGATTTGAAATCCAACGCACATGACATGCCTGCACTGTGGTCAATGGTGACATTATCAATAACGTCCTGTATGGCCATTATGTTATCACGAATATTCTCTGCTTAATAGAAGCCGCTTTGATTCGAATCAATCACTTTTTCGATTGCTTTTCAAATCTTATATCAAGAATTTTGGCAAGTATTGTGAAAATGACGTATAGCAAGCAGATCGGACGCTTGTTTTTTTTAGCAGATTTCGGTTGCCCTTATTAGGAATCAGCGTTCTTATGCCACACCTTTCAGTTATGAACAAAAATGATGATTAAAATCATTCATGTAGTCTGCTATTAGACTCTCCAAATCGTTCCGTAAGCACAGAAAAATGTCTTGGTAAAACCCAATATTGATGGTGACTTGTGAACAGCCATTAGGCCTAAAGCGTATTTGTGTTCACCGCATGTAATTCCACTCTCATATAGAGCACGGTCATTGCTTGACAGTTGTGGAATATTTTCGACCAAGTCTGAATCTCCCGCAGGGGCTTTAATCAAGCAATGCAGTTCCGCGAAGCATGATTTACAAGCTTCGAGAAGATTTTATCCTCCGTAAAAAACGAACATTTTTGTCTTGAAATATGCTGATTAGCTTACATTCGGCCCATTTATTTAGCAGCCGCAAGAACATCTAGAAGGTTTTCACCATTTTCTAACCAGGTTACTTAGGAGAAGAGCATCGCTCTTTTCCCAGCTTCTGCTTTAGGTTTCTTCGAACTCTGCCTTAGCTCCTATATAATTCTGAACTAAGCTCTCCTCACAAGAGCTGGTCAAAGCGAATTCCAGCTGTGACGTTCTGTCCTCCTGTCTCTTTTATGGTCTCGCTCAGCTCGAGATAATTTTGTACCGTTTTATATGCATAGCAGTCCATCATTGATCAACAACGTCTCAATTAACACTCCAAGCTATGTTACAACCAGCATGCATCCCTTCTTAATTCTTAGCAGCACAGATCACATCCTTATCATATCGCTAAGCTGATCGCCGTTCAAAAGTTCGCTGGTCATTTACCGTACACCTGGACCACTCCTCTGCTTTCACTGCCTCTAAATGCAAAACAGTGCCACTATGGCCTCTGAGGACACCCGGCTCTAGGCTACAACGATTGGCTTATTGAGAAAGAGCCCTGGTATCGCTCATTATGAAGCAATCAATTCTAGATTGCTGTTAAGGGTTCGGACGCCTTCATGTAAATTGTTTCTGTTAAGGGGTGAGTTCCCTCCACATGTCCAACAGCCCAAAGTCACTCATTATATCCTTCAACATTTCTGATTGACTAGCACATTTACTAAATTAAGAATTTGCGCTGCCTAAAAAAATCCCCTTGAAAGCACGCTGATAATTACAAACGGGTTTTTCCATCATATCTGATGCTTTCCTCAAAAGCCAAAAATGTGGAGCATTCCAGACCACAAGATACGAGTTTTAAAACACAGTGATCAAGGGTCTAACCGGCAAACATAGGGAAAGGCCAGGGTAACCGCCTCTTGAAGAAGAACTCTGAGCATTACAGGGTAATCTATTGAAAGCAAACTCCCCATTTCATTGCTGACGCGCCCACCTAGCGACAATGTGTACAGTAAAGTTTCTGACGAAAAGGTGGAATTTTTTCTCTAACACTGCTATGATACGATAGGATATAGCGCATCAAGACAATTGGGATGCTCTTCTTGAAGGTGTGCCAGTGTTGGAATTGCCAGTGCAACACGGCATGCTCATATGTGATGCAATATTGACTATTGGTAAGCACAAGGACATGCATTCAGGCTTCTAAAGTGCCTCAATCGCTGACAGTCTTCGCATCGCATTAAAAACCCGTTTCTCCCACACCCCTGCTCAGATTCTGAGGAGGGTGCAAATTAAATGCCTAACCACTGCATGATTTTTTCTTGCTTCATTGGACCGATCATATCATGGACTAAGGCTATTTAAGAAATGCTTCAATTGCCTCATACATTAAGCTCTTCGCAGTTACGCATCACTAATACAAGAGAGGCACCTCTCGTATATGTAGGGGAAATACGTTACGCAGAGGCGAAGTTGTCAAAAACATATCGCAAATCTCGAGCAACAATGAATGTAGCGTTCTCACACGCAGAGAACTGCCAACGAACGCAAGGATCGAATGCTTACAAAAGCAGGGCACGTGTGCATCCCTGAAGTGCGAATCAGTGTAATGTGGCTGGGAGCCTGGTGACGGTTCTACACCGGCGCCAACAGCGTCATGTCTTCGCACAACGAAGCAAACGGAAACCACAACTTAGTTGTATTTAGTCTATGTCCTGTGTGAGTGGAAAAACGAGACGCTCAGGTAAGCCTAAGGTCCTCTGCCGAGTGAACCTAAGCCCCTCAAGTGGGATGTGCAGAAAACCTCCCAAATGTGTCCCGGTTACAAATGATCGGGGCCTCGGGAGTCTTGTCACACGGGAAGCATACATGGCCAGCTGCACGAGTATACGCGTTGCGAAATTTTGCGCTAAAGGAATGCCCTACGAAGGAATGCAATATGAAATACTTTCCTGAAACCCAGCCAAAAGGTTGACACGCGCCAGGGTGGGCGGTCGAATTGAACTCCGAAGGTTTTCCAGAATGGTCTCCGAACGGTGTGGTGCAGCCGCGCCAAATTTTACACAGCTGTAGACAATTGAATAGCGGAGCGTTTGGTATCAAATTGCTTTGCAAGGCCGCTGACCTTTGGCAGGTCAAAGTCAAGCCATGGATTCAGTGAGGAAAATATTTAGGAAATCGTTTCGTCTGGTGCAACACAGGTGTGTTAAACGAAACCATACATCTCTGAGATGCCGTTCAGGCTACACAAAAAATTAAATGAGCAAATGCTATGAAACTAGAGTCAGGTATGAAGGTTACGCCAAGGTCAAGACCGACCTGCTTTGCTGCTCTGGAGCATGCTGTGTGGAATAGTATCTGGAGCTCATTTTGAATCTATTGATAGTAGGAACTGCATTAAACACCTTCTCTAGACTTCTCAAATGTCAATATCGGTGACTGACCTGAAATTTCCCAGGTCAACATTTTGTTGTTCTGAACATGTTGCTTAGCGTAATCCTCGACATTTATTTAAATGCAGAAATCAAGACAGTCTTGTATGATTTTGGTCACCATGACCTTTGTGGGATCAAGCAAGGTCACTGACCTTAAATAAACATATGCTATGGCCTGAGGGCACTTGAGACACCAATGTGAAGTCTGACCGTGCTTGACCTGATTTAGCTTAAAGACCGTGACCTGGAAACCTCAAATTTTGACTCAAGTGCGTTAACGCACATACAAAATCACCTTGTGAAATTGGTGTTTCTAGCTCTCATAGTTTGTGAGATTTTAGAGGTCAAATTGACCCCACCCAAGCGAAGGATATTCAACCGGCTCACCGGGCGCGTGCTTTAAGCAAACAACCCTGGATATCAACGTGGCACTGATTTAAGGCAGCTTTTTCACGTCCAAGTAGTCCGAGGAGCGCTCCTATCTTCGTCTGCAACTGGGATAACACAGTCAGGCAAGAACTAGCTATTCATATCCATACAGGCGAGGGACGTCTACGGAATATGAAACTGGGTGCCGTAAGCGGGGCTCAGGACAGTAGATGGGCGAGAGAGATACTGAGGGAAAGCTGGGCGAGCGGCAGATCCATATCGAAATTCATTACTTCACATAACGACTTGCGCCTCCATATAGGCGCTTGTTATGCGTTTGCTTATGATGTTAGCAATAAGGAGCGCTTGAATATGTACAGGTGCTGTGACAGGTGTACAGGTATTATTGTGACAAGTGTAAGTGGGCGCACCCACACTCACGCGCATACGGCTGCATGAGCGTGAGCGTGAGTGTGCATGCGTGGGAGCATGCTGCAATTGCTTTTTGTAAGCATTTGTAGGTAAGCGTGGAATCTGTCCAATCTAAAGGCATGCATGTACTTGTTTTCATCAAGCATCGGCTATTGCTTTGCTATTCGAGGAGCGGGCGAGCTCTAGTCATTCAAATGGTATTTCGGTACACTCCTCTAACGGGACATACACAGTCTCAGCCTGTGGTAACGGAGCTGGCAACGGCACAAAATGGAGATAATCTGTCGATTGCTACACATAAGCTGTCCAGACAAGTAATCCCAGTTCTGGCCTGTGCACGGGGCGCGGAGCGTGCAGCGGCCCCGCACGGTGACCGGACTCTCAGCCAAGGCTGGCATGGGGCCGTGCTAGCTGCTGCTCAGACTTCATTGCCATCTTGTGTGGCGATATAGATAAAATTGGTACTAACGGGGTAACTGTCACCACAACAGAAAATGCGGCCCAGGCTAAGCTCCTCGCCAGACGTCGGACATCAGATCTGAACACGGGTCTTGCGATATGCGACCAGCGCTTCCACAACTTAAGCGTGGGCTGGACCTCGGAGGATTGCCAGAAACCACAGCGAATGCCCGCGCCGCCCGTCTGAACCAGAAAGCAGCTGCCCTGGCGCCGGCCCGGCGCTGGTCACGTGCCACGTCCCGGCCGAACGCTCACCTGCAGCCACGAGAGCATGAGCTTCTTGGGCGGGAACTTGGACTGTCCAATCTGGTACTTCATGATCAGGCTCCAGATGAGACCGAGGATGAGCTTCTGGTTGCCGTTCACGATGTCTACGTTTCCTGGAGACAAATGGCACGCGGTCATTTCATTGCTCAGGGGAATGCTTTCCAAAAATCCAAATGTTCAGGACTTCGTCACGATTTCTTCGGGCTTATATTCGTAATCGATGGAAAACGGAAGCCAGGTTGAACAGTCGCTCGATTAATAATAAAGGGCACTGAGATAATTCTGCGAACACGCAGGAAGCTGATATACTTGCAGCCACCTGCACATCTAGAAGACTGCATCGTTACATAATGCCGATGGACCAAAAAGAAAAAGACGAAAAAACACCCATCACATAACAACATTAATGTTAATTGATGCCGGTATGTGCATCCTAGCCACGCTGTCAAATCCATTCACATAATCGAACCAACAGCAGAGTAGAAAGGCAAGGACAAGCTGGCCTTTATAATTGGTAGTAGACATCAGAAGTTAGTATGTGCCGTAGACATGCCAAAACCCTCATACCCCAAATAGTTGTCACTGGTGTCTGTCCTAGATTCAATCGCGTGGGATGCATTGCTGTCCGTCATGGCTGTTATCTCCACGGGTCATGGCTGAATAGTTCAACCGCAGCGCCTCCCCACACCCCTTCCCATAGGAGCGAAGCACAAAGAGGGAGCCGTATGCTCCCCATCCAAACAGGCGCCATATGCCCAAAGCACGCTTAGCGACCATTTCGGTCCGTTCGTGATGTGAACCGTTCCTTTGGGGGCGCTGCAGCGAAACACTAGACTGCACGAGCGATTGCAGTCACCTGTTTAACCGTCGCGTCATCAGAAGGTTGCAGGCGCCAAGAGGGCTTGGCGGGTTTTTGTGTGGCTGCTTGTTGCTGTGCATTCGGCCCGGTCAACAGAAGCCAAGGCTGCATTCCAGAGCGGAAAATGACATCACATCCCGGATAATCCGATATCCCAGTGCAGAAGAGGTGCCAACTGGCAGTGAACGAAGCTAAGCTTGCCTGCGGCCTGTCCTGTCCCATCTGTCAACAAGTTCAGCGGATCATGAGGCTCTGAGACATTCGGTGCTCGGTGGCATCGGCACAGGAGCATAGCTTTGGAAAATCAGTTGGGAGGGGGCTGAGCCAGGAAAACATAAGCAAAGCTACCCCGATGGTCACGTTAAGTCCAGCCCCCGCGTATTTAACTTGCTTGCGTTTTAGTGTTGGGAGCCTAAGGAAAAAGCTGGGGATTCCTTGACCTGGCTACGGGACCACACCCCTGCATTCACCAATGCCCACCTTATTAAACCAGGTCTTGATCGATGTCAAATTGGCAATGTCACTTATTTCTAGCATTTCCTGCCTTGTGTTAGGAACAAGACTTAGTGAAATCAGCTGTTTGTCACTCCTGGTGTGTCCACTCTGATGGCAAAATGGAGGACGTCACGCGGCGTGTACCGCTTTATAACATGCCACAGTGACATAAATTAATATTGCTTTTCAAAACATGCACAACATACAGTGGGTAATTCAAGGGCCGTCTGGCTCCCGCATTCGCCCCTGTCAGCACACGAGTCACTTTTTCGGCAGAGCTTTCTCATCTTCTCAGGATCGCAAAGAATGAACCAGAAGTTTCGCGCTGGCTAAGGACTTACTTTCGCCGGTGCTGTGGCACGGCTGCCTGGTCAACGCTAGTTATTCGTGGAGAGAGTGGTGCGTATTGGTAAAGCAGCATGCAATGGCAGTTAGTTTTGCTCATTTCATGACCCACGGATCTCAACTACCCCTACATGACTGGATGTTCGTCTTACGCAATCTAACTAGTCAGAAATACCAACGAAAAAGCTGTCTGGTCGGAAATTGGCACTTGTGCAATGCAATTTCACATTGCATGCCAACAACTGGACTCGAAAATTGTCCAAAATTATTCGGGATAGCAGCAAAAGGGTGTGCAGCGCATTCTTGCACAAACATTCGGTAAAACATAGCACATTAATGCCTGCTGCATATTGAGCTGCGACCATTTACCCGAGCAGTGTGTTATAGGAGCTACCACAGCTGTCTGCCGCTCAGATAATAGGCCTGACCATCGTAAACGGAGTATTCAGAACCCCATTGTCCTGGTAACCATATTCCCTAATTGGATAGCGACGACATAATTGGACGGAATCATCCGGTAGACAGTTCACTTCGTGGTTTTGAGGTCATGGTTCATCAAACAGCGCGGATGTCGAATGGTTAATTGCTGAGGACCCTAAGCGCAGATGGAACCAAAGCCACCACGTTCATTCGTCTGAAGAATAGTAGTCTGGACGCTAACTAAAAACGCGTTCGCGAGGTGAGCGATAACTGACGCCTCTGATGTTCTAAATGCCGCAAAACCTCACTTTTCGAAATGAACAAGCCGTAAGGTGAGGCCCATGCTCGTCTCAATGCATTTTCTTGCATTTTGTATGGTGATAGACGTTATATGAATGAAGACTGTCTGTACAAGCATGTCCGTTGAGGCTCCACTTCAAGCGTGTTGTGCTGCACGCTCCCGTAATGCAGCCTGTGCTCAGCAGCGGCAAACAGCCCGGCGTCAGGCAATGCAACCGCCAATCCCCGTTCGCCTCGGCGTCTATCACCGGTGCACAGTTGCGGTGCCGCGCTCACAGACCGTTGTGTGCTCCGGCGGAGCTCCGGTGGAGCACCGAGCTCGTGACGGCGGAGCTCCCGGCCGTCGTCGGCGGGAACCCACGCCGGCGGCGGGCGCGCGGGGGCGTGTCCAAGGCTGGCCGGTCGCCGCCCGCCGCGCGCGCTCCCAGGCAACAACGGGCTGCAGGCTGCAGTCGCGGCGGCCGCCGGCCCTACAGCCGCGACCGAGCAGCGGCGATAGCGTGCCGCCCGCGCCGCGAGAGCCCCCTGAAAATGGTGGACAGGCCGCCAGGCCGACCTGTCGTTGAAACGCTGGTCACGTGCCAAAGTGAAACGGGTGCTTCTGGGCCCGGTTGGCCCATGTGAATGTGGGTAACATTGTGTCACGGCCGAGAAGAAAGTGGGCAGCAGTTGTGCGTTGTAGTGAGCGAGAGCGCTCGTTCAACAGCGCGTGCTTGTTCTGAGCCGCCCCAGGGTTAAAACGCTTCAGTTACAGCACTGGGCCCCATTGTGACGCCGCAAAACGGCTGTGAACCCCGCCTGAACCAAAACGGTCCGGGCGGACGGGCGACCTTGCCGCTCTAGCGTGGCACGGGCGCACGTGTTGCCGATCGTTCTCATTGAGAGCGGTCCGTCGTCGGCGGCACGCGGCTCGCTCGGCGGTGTCGCGCGCCACGCACGCCTCCCGCCGCCTTCCATTGTTCGTTTTGGCGGCGGCGCCGCTGCACCGGGCTGTTGCGTCAGCGGACGTCCTGGACGCCGCCGTGCTCCCCACCCGGCCTGCATCGATCTCCCGGCGAGACTTCAACGGCCGGCCGCTAGAAAGTAACACCGCCGTCCGCGGCGGCGCCGCCCGGAAAACGAAAGTGCGCCGGCCGGTGACGTCACGCCGCGGCGAGTGAGTGACGTCACCGGCCGGGTCGGGTCGCCGGCGCGGACGCCGCGGGTCCGTCGCGCCGCGTCATCGGCTTCCGGCCGTTGACGAGCCGTGCCGGGATGACGGCGCCGAGGGCCGGCCGACCGTGGCGGAACACCGCTGCTGCCGGACGCGACCGGGCAGCGCGCCCAGTCCGGGTTATGTGTAGCTACTGACCATTGGCGGCGTTCGCGGCGAGCCCGGGCTGCGGCAACAGGACCCTGACATCCAACTGCGGCCCTGACATCCAAGCGTAGCGCAGGCATTCAGGATAGTCTTACATGCGGATGCACGCATCCCACCCCACTTATATACCGCAGCACTCACAATGCAACGTTTTATTTAGATCCTTACTATTTTATCTAGTGGCTGGCTCATGCCTTATCTCAAGACGGCTGGACGGTGCCAGACCGTGACACAGAACTCAGCGAGCGACAGGTCAAGAAGAGTTCCGTTGCCAGCAGGAGACAGAACTCCGACGTCATTCGACGTTCACGCCCCGCTGCTCACGTTGATGAGATCTCCACACACACAACGTAGCAGCTGCACGGAGGCAGCGGCATTCGGAGGAAGTCACCAACGGGATCACACGGGACGTGGTAAGCTCGTGTGTAAGACGCCGGCTCCGTCCGTCTTTTGCACCTCGGCTGGGCCCACATTGATCACTCAGCTCTCTGTCGCTGCTGAGTCGCTCTGCACCGCTCGTCCTTGGCGGGCCCGGGGACCGCCGAGGGTGGAGCTGTCACAAACCAGATGACCTTACGAGAGGGGCGGGCCCCACGTGCCGTCAGAACGGCTTGGCTGGGGCCCCAGCTGGGGTGCTGAGGGTGGACCTTGCAGTGAAGGCGGCGGCGCAGAGCCCACAGCTGTGGCATTGAGCATAGACAGTGCAGTGGGACATGGACACGGCTGGTTTTCTGGTGAGAGGTATCACGGTTTGAGAGGTGTGCACAAATAGGGTGCCAGAAATAGTTATGACCGGCAGGCGGTATCCTTAGCTGGTGGGTGGGGGACGTGCCTCACAGTAGGGAGATAGCAGCTGATGTACTGGGAACGGGCCTTCCGGTGAGGAGGTGGCCCCAGCTTCGTTGGATACTGAGGACGGACCTCAATCTGACAGGAGACGTCTGCAGCTGGGCTCTCGGGACGAACGTCACCGTGGGGAAGCTGGTGCACTAGGGGCGGACAGCAGTGAGATGGTCCCAGCTGCCAACCTCCTCCCCCTCCCCCACAGCTGGCAGGTGTTCAGCGACACGCCACTGGCGGCAGACCTCAAAGAGGGGGTGCCACGGTGGCCCCCTCGAAGCCCATCCAGCGGGGGCCTGTGAGGGGGTGGTAGACCCGAGGTGGTGACCTTGACCGGGCGCCGCCTACCCGTCCCAGTTCTCAGCGTCTCTGGCCCGACGACCGCCTGAGAGCAGCGCTGGTTCCCAGGGCCGCCTGCGACGCGTCCGCTCCCTCCGCCGGCAGGTCCCGCCGGCGCCGCGTGTCCAACCCCACGCCGGCGCGCTGCGGGAGGG